CCACAAAGAAAAAAGCCCCAAAAAAAAAAAAAAAAAAAAAAAAACAGAAAAAAAAGACCGTTCCTAAAATTTGCTCTCTTTTGTCTTGAGTCAAGATCTGGAGAGGATCAAGAACAGGCAGTGAGTGAGGAGGACTTGGGGGTCTGGGCTCCAGTACAACCCTGACATGACAGCAATGTGGCCGAACAAGTCTCTTAGCCTCTCTGAATTTCACTTTCCTTTTTGTAAAATTATGTTTTTGTATTTGGGGAAGAAGTGGATGGATGTAAATGCAATGACTTCTAAAGCTTCTTCCAGTTCTGATGTTCTTGGTTGAAACTGTGGCCTAATGATTTATGCGGCGTTTGTAGTTAGATTTTAATCCTTTCTTCTTCTGTCGAAGCTCTGAAGGTTGAGCTAGGGTTTCCAACTTGACCTTACTCTGTTTCATACCTTTTTCTATGAGGGAGGAACTTCTCAGAACCCCAGCTGCCAAAGTAGCTGCTCCGCAGTCTGCCTCAGCCTCCTGGCTCCTCCTACTCAAACTAGAACACTCTTATATTTTAAATTAAGTTTAAATTGGTTAAAATAATGTAAAATTACAGAGAACTTAGCAAGAGGAAAAAGAACAAAACAAATACAAGGAGTCTTCAGAGTTCGTGAAAAATGTGGAAAAAAATATGGAAAAACTATGCATACGTTTCAATTTCTTTTGCACCAAAATAAACTTTTTTTAAAAAGTTTGCTATAGGGGGGACCAGCAGTTAGCGTAATGACTATGTCACTGGACTCCCATGTAGTCGACCGCGGTTCGCGTCCTGGACCCAGTGGCTTAAAACTCACGCCAGGCGCATGTGCGCGCGTGCCCAAGATCCTGAGAGGAGAATGGAGGAGAAGAGATTGTGGCGTGGCCATCCCCCCCTGGGGGGTGATTTCTCGCTTTCTATCTCTCTGTCTCTCTCTGTCTGTCTGGCGAGTGCACATGCCCTATAGCAAAAACCTCTCCAAAAAAAAAAAAAAAGTTTGCTATAGTGTGTGTGTATTCACCAGAGACAGACAGAGAGAGGGGGAAAGGGAACTATCATCCCTCAAGGGAGATGACTATGGCATAATCCCTTCTTTTCCTTTCTCCTCTGGGGATTTTGGGTACCTGCATGCTGAGAGTGACTTTCAAGTTGTCAGGTCCAGGACTCAAACCATGAAGTTGGCTATGTAGGATCTAGCAGCCTTAACCTCTCCAATAAATTCAAATACAATTGGCCCCAATAAATTTGCATTCTTTTTGAGAGAGATTTTTGCTATAGGGTGCATGTACTCACCAGAGAGACGTAGAGAGACTGAGAGACAGAAAGTGAGAATTCACCCCACAGGGAGGATGGCCACACTGCAATCCCTTTTCCTCCATACTCTTCTCAGGATTTGGGACATGCACGCACACACACCTGGTCTAAGTTTTAAGCTGCGAGGTTCGGACTCGAACTGTAGTTGACTACATGGGAGTCTGGTAATGTAACCACTACGCCGTCTGCTGGTGCCAAATTCGCATTTTTAAGAGAGTTTTGTCTTAGGGCACGTGCTTCACTGGAGAGAGAGATAGAGACAGTGAGAGGAAAAGTGAGAAGTCATTCTCCCAGGAGGGATGGCCACACTGCAATCCCTTCTCCATCTTCCTGGGATCTGGGGCACACACCCACATGTGCCTGGTGTGATTTTCAAGCCACTGGTCAGGACTCCAACTGCAGTTAGCCACGTGGGAGTCCAGCAATGTAACTGCTAAGCCTTCTGCGGGCCTCTAAATTCATGTTTTAATTCCGTTTTTTTCACGAACTTTTTGAAGCTCTCATATGACCACGCAGAGGTATTATCATTATTTTTCTGAATTCAAGTAGGCTTTATATGTATGGTTTTGTTTTGTTTTGTTTAGAGAGAGATTTTTGCTATGGGGAGTGTATGCTCTCTAGAGAGACACAGAGAGACAGAGAGACAAAAAGCGAGAAATTACCCCTTGGGGGATGGCCACACCACTATCCCTTCTCTTCCATGCTCCTCCCAGGATCTTGGGCAGGCACGCCCAGCACGAGTTTTAAGTTACCAGGTTTGGGACTTACACTGCGGTCAACTATGTGGGAGTCCGGTGACGTAACCATTACGCCATCTGCTGGTTGCTATATGAACGTTTTAAATAGTTATAATTACGTCCTTCATAGCTCCTATTTTTCTAAGTTAGCATTACTATATACTATATATTTTTTCACATTTCTAACTAGTCTTTTTTTATTTTTTGGAGAGGTTTTCACTATAGGGTGCGTGCGCTCACCAGACAGAGACAGAGAGACAGAAAGCGAGAAATCACCCCCCAGGGGGGATGGTCACACCACAATCCCTTCTCCTCCATTCTCCTCTCGGGATCTTGGGCACGCACGCACAGGAACCTGGCAGGGGTTTTAAGCCACCAGGTCCGGGAAGCGAACCGTAGTCGACTACATGGGAGTCCAGTGACATAGCTATTACGCTAATTCTGGTTCCCTCTAACTAGTCTTTATACTCACCTTTATGACTGGATAATTTCCTTAAATGATGAATCTTTGCTTCTCTAGTCATTTCCATACTGATGGGTATTTAAGTGACTTCCACTTTTTGTTTGTTACTAAAGATGCTATAAGGTATGTTTCCTGTTTATAGACTTTTCCACTCTTTTCCCCAAGCTGCCAGACCCAGGTCTCAAACCGTGTTGTCTGCCATGTGGGATCCAGCCACCTTAACCACCATGCCACCAGGTGGCCCATTGTTCCACATTTTTAATTGATTGCTTTCGGTAAATTCTGGAAAGTGGAAATGAGGAAACAAAATTTAAATGTTTGGTTATATATTGGCAGATTGCTTTCCAAAGGGTTGTGCCAACTTGTAATGACACCAACGAAGCGGGAGAGCACCAGGTCCCGGGCGGCACTGAGTAGGCTGGTGTACCCGTGTGTGACACGTAAAAGGCAGCTCATGAGCTAATTTGTATTTCCTTCCTATTTATCCAGATTAAGTATTCTCCCAAGGTTTTGTTTCTAACTGAATTCTTAATGAGTTTTCTGTGTTTTCCTCCATTTATTTATCGTTTGGAATCTTGATGTCATTCTTTTTCATTTACATGAGGTTTCTTGAATAAAACCTTTTACTTATCAAGTTTTCTGCAAAGATTTTCCCCATTTGCTTTTCTATTTTTTAAAAAAATTATTTATTTAATTTTATTTATTCATTCTTTTTTTTTTTTTTTGGCCAGGCAGAGACAAAGAGAGAGAGAGAGAGAAAGAGAGAAAGCAAGCCACCAGGTCCAGGACTCGAACCATGGTCAGCCATCTGGGAGTGCCCAGCACCTTAACCACCATGCCACCTGCTGGTCCCCTGTTCTATTTTTTTAACAGAAACATTCCATATAGGCAACTCTTTTGATAATTTCCTTTGTCATTTCTTTCGAAGTGATTTTTTTTCTTTCTATCCTCCTAAGAAAACCTTTCTCTAGGTGTTCCATATTTGCCTTATTTATCCTCATTTTTAGGGATTTGATTTTATTAAAAAAATTTTAACTCCTGGGGCCAGAAGGTGGTACGGTGGGTAAGGTATTGGACTCCCACATGGGTGACCATGATTTGAGTCCTAGACCTAGCAGCTTGCTTTATCGCTTTCCCTCTTTCTCGCTGGAGAATTAAATAATAACAATAATAAATTAGTAAAATTAAATAATTCTTTTTTTTTTTGGAGAGATTTTCACTGTAGGGCGCATGCGCTCGCCAGACAGACAGAGAGAGACATAGAGACAGAAAGCGAGAAATCACCCCCCAGGGGGGATGGTCACGCCGCAATCCCTTCTCCTCCATTCTCCTCTCGGGATCTTGGGCACGCATGCACACGCGCCCGGCGTGAGTTTTAAGCCACCGGGTCCGGGACACGAACCGCAGTCGACTACGTGGGAGTCCAGCGACATAGCCATTACGCTAACTGCTGGTTCCCCTGATTCTTTAAAAAATATTTAACTCCTTTACTATTTCACTGAAGGGTGTGTGTATGTGAGTGTGTGTGTGTGTGTGTGTGTGTGTGTGTGGTATGAGGCATAAGTCAAAATAGAGTTTTTTCTCAAATCACCAGTCATTTACCTTACTGCCACTTATCAAAGTTTCTTTCATGTTTTCTTATGGTATTTTATTTTCAAATGTATTTGAATTCTCTTATAAATGATAGTGACCATCTGGAATACCTGGTTAGTCTTCTACTAGTGCTACACAGCTTGAATTATTATTATTTTTGAAATGTGTTACATTTGGACCTAGAAACGACCAATATACAGACTAAGCTTTTGTACTGGGACAGAAATGGGGAAGGTATTGCCCTCGGAAGACTTTCAGGAATTTATTAGTCTCTTTGTTGTCACTGAGAAGGCTTTAAGAGCCCAGAAATTGTGCCCTTCAGTAGACAAATCCTTCAGTAGGTCAGTGCACCCTTGGAGCAGGGTGGGGTACCAAATCACAAAGGCAGATAGGGGTCACCAAACTGGTCTTTACTGGAAGTGCTACTTTGGAGGACAACACAGGTGCCCACTAGGACAGGAGAGCCTTAAGGGACAATGTGACCGCCTCACAAGTCCCCTGGGATGGTTCTGGTGAAGAAGCACTGAAGGCGGTTTGGCGTCCTGTAAAACTGCTAAACTTGACATCGGGAAGCCTAGGTTTTCTCCTGGTGCTGCCACGTGTCCTTAGACAGTTTCGGTGTTGCTTCAAATCCCTCACTGGGAAAGGAGAATAGTGGTATTGACGAGGCCTACTTCATGGGGAGCTTGTGGGAAAAAAAAGTGAGTGCATATTTGTGAAAATATTTAGAAATTTTGAAGCTATAATTAGAGGAATTCATTAAAAATGTGTTGTTATTGGCTACCAAAATACTTTTTTAAAATCTGGAGCTTCTGGGACCAACAGTTGGTGTAATGGCTATGTCGCTGGACTCCCATGTAGTCAACCACAATTCAAGTCCCGGACCTGGTAGCTTAAACTCATGCCGGGCGTGTGTGTGTGTGTGTGTGTGTGTGCCCAAGATCCCAAGAGGAGAATGGAGGAGAAGGGATTGTGGCATGGTCATCCCCCATGGGGGGTGATTTCTCATTTTCTGTCTCTCTGTCTCTCTCTCTGTCTTTCTGGTGAGTGCATGCGCCTTATAGCAAAAACCTCTTCAAAAAAAAAAAAAATTCTGGGCATTCTATTTCTATTTGGATTTCTTTGTCATTTCTATTCTTCATTTAGACTCAAAACTTCTACAGTAATGATGACAGCAAATACTATGTACCAGGCATTTTTGCATATATTTCCTCACTTAACCCTCTCAGTAACTGTAATAAGTAGCTATTGTCTATTCATATCTAGTAAGTACTGTTATTTATCCTTATCTTCACTTCACAGGTGAGGAAACTGAGAGACGACAGAAGTGAGTAAACGATTCCAAATCACAGCTGTGAGTGGCAGAGCTAGGATGTAAGCCCAAGAAAACTGGATCCAGAGTCTGTGCCACTGACAGTATTAATATTATTAAATATGTGAAATGTTTTCGTTTATATTTTTTTAAAGTACTTTGTTTCCTTTCAGCTATTCTCAGCTAAAGTAATGGGAGATCCCTTTCTCGTGGAGGAGCTGGGTGTGCTTGCACTGAAGTCAGCAGCAGATGAAGGACAGAAACAAGGCCGAGACACTCGTCTGCTGCTCCTGGAGACGTTTTCCAAACTTCTAGAGCTCCTGACCCTCCGCCACCGGTTAATAGAAATGAGTCTGGAGAGTGCACACTTAGCCCGGTCAGTAGGAGGCTGAGGAGCCAGTGGAATAGAAGCTTTGAGCAAGACCTGGGGAAATGATTGACCATGGGTCTCCACAGCTATCACCCTTACCCCATCTCTGCCCCCAGAGCAACCAGAATGAGTTTTCAAAATGGCTGAAGTGACCACCTCACACCCTTGTTCCTTCTTGCTTCCAAACCTCCCTATGGCCGCTCAGCGAGGCTAAGTCCTCCTGCTGGGTTTCTTGTCCATTCAGCACATTTTCTTTTAATTAGATGCTTTATACTGATTTATTGGTTTTCGTGCTAGCACAGTCTCCCTGAATGCAGAAGCTCTGCCCACGTCGTTTACCATAATGTCCCATTACCTGGTATGGGTCTGGAGCCACACCAGGCTCTCAGGAAGTTGATTTAATTTGCTCTTGAATGTAATGAAGTTGGATAGCAGAGGGCCTAGAGAAAGGAGAAAGGAGGGAAATGACTCTGAGACAGACTTCAGGACTGACAGCTATGGAGGGCTCAGTGTGCAGGAGGAAAGACAGATTAAGACGTATGTCTTAGATGTAACTTAGGGATGATGGTAAGACATCAAGTGGACATGTTCCATAACAGAACAGAGATGAAACCAGAGGTTTTGTTGCAAACATGTATGAGTGTTGTGTTCTGGCCCTCATGAGAGGTTCTGTAGACATCAGCGTCCACTCGTCTACCACCAACCATGATCAAGGACCTACTGTGGCCAGAGGCTTTATGTGTATTATTTAATTATACACCTTTATGAGGTGGGTTACAAATATTTCATCAACAAGGAAATAGAGGCCCGGAAAAGTTTAATAATTTGACCAACATCATGTAGCTAGAAAATAATAGAAGCAGAATTCAAACTATTGGTCAACATATTATTAATCTGACACTGTCTCTCTATACTTTATGATCCTTCTCTTAGGAAGTTCATGATATAAAATTACCTGTAACCGTGTAATAATATTCTCATACGAACGACATAACACGAGAGCACCAAAAGGGAACATTTTATTCATTATAAGTGAATCAAAGAAAGCTTCAAAGACTTGAATTATGCCCCTCCAAAATTCACACTGTCAAGTCCTAATCCCCAGTATCTCAACAATGTGACCTTATTTGGAGATAAGGTCATTACAGAGATGACCTAGTTAAACTGAAGTTGTTAGAGTACGCCCTCATCTAATACGACTGGTGTCTTTATAAGGGTGGGAAATTTGAACATAGATTCACACTGAAGAAACATGACATGAAAGCACAGGGAGAAGATGGCCATCTGCAAGTCATGGAGAGGAGTCTAGAACAGATCCCTTTCTCCTGACTCTCAGAAGGAAGCAATGCTGCTGACTTCTTGATCTGAGATTTCTAGCCTCTAGAATTGTGAGACAATCAGTTTCTTCTTTTTTTTATTTAAGAATTATTTTTTATTTAATTTTATTTACTTATTTATTTTAATTTGACCATAGAAGGACAGAGTGAGAGAGAGAGAGGGAAAGTAAGAAAGCAAGCCACGATGTCTGAGACTCAAACCGCAGTTGGCCATGTGGGAGTCCAGGACGCTTCACCACCATGCCACCTGCCGGTCCCACAAGGCAATTAATTTCTGTTGTATAAGCCATTCAACACTTTGTGTGGTTATGATATCTTGTTACTGGTGCCAACCAAACTCAGCACAAGGGAGAGACATGTGTCAGAGTGGGAGTGTGAGGGAAAGGAGGAAGGCTGAGATGGCAGAGGGACGTCTGCAGTGAGCCACATTGAACGCCTCAGAAACATGGGACTGGAGAGCAGAGTGACTCTCACATGAAGGGGTGGGCTTAGGGTCTAGGTTTGGATGCATTCACCAAGGAGGGGATGTATTAGATGAGAAAAGAACCAGGCTGGGAAAGCCAGGAGACACCAAAATTCGAAAATAAAGAGTAAACAGTGAAGACTGAGACAGAGTGGCCATGAGACAGAGGCATGGCGATCCTGGATCAGGAAGACAAAAATACTCCTCACATCAGGGACTGAGAAATCGGACGTGACGAGCTCTGGGAGAAGACAGGGAGCATCATATTGAGGGCAACTCTGCTGACCTCAGGAAGACTCTGAGGACAGGAGCCAGTTTGTAGAAAGTGAGAGATGAGGGCGTGCCCAAGCACATCTCCTACTTTCACTGCGATTGTCATATCGAGAGCAGGACACACAACCCGTGTGACCTATTCACACAAGTACTTCACTTACTCTTGTTTGAATTTTGCTTATGTGCTTATTCAGGGGTTTTGGTTTCCTTGCCACTTAACTTGCCTGTAGAAGAAAGCACTAACAAATGCCCTTGACTACTGTTTTTCTTGCAGACTCTATAAGGAATTGGCCTGGGAGATGGGCTTTGAAGAGTTCCATTTGTATCTGAGGCCTGTTCACTTCGAGTTTGTATCACACAAGGACAAGGTGGATCCACCACCTCCCATCTTTATGACCTCTCTGCTGGAGGACAAAGATTGGGTAGACAGGTAAGCCTTCAGAGGGACCTAGTGAAAATAGTGGAATGGTAACATGAATAACCAATGAAAAATATTTGTCACTATTGGGCACAAGTATAATCACATAGCTAAATTCTCTCCCCTATAATCTATTTGCCATAATGCCAATATTTTCCTTTTTTAATAAGGGCGCTGGGGGGATGTGATCTCAATCAGGGGGTATAATTGGATTTAAAAACACCAGGCCATGGGGTCAGCAGGTGGCATAGTGGTTAAGGCATTAGACTCCCTTGTGACTGACTGTGGTTTGAGTCCTGGACCTGGGGGCTTGAAACTCACACAGGGTACATGTGCTTACGTTCCCCCCAGGGACAATTTCCCGGTTTCTTTCTCTCCAATGAGCACACACACCCTATAGCAAAAATCTTTAAAAAAAAAAAATAAATAAATAAATAAAACAAATAAATTAGTTAAAACAGCAGGTCAGAGAACTCAAATGAGATGAAATTACAGATTCAGCAGCTTTCCAGACGGAACACGATGCTTCCAGGTAGAGAGAAGTTGGAGGCTGGTCCAGTGAGGCACAAGCAATGGATCAGAAGTCCAAGGCTCTGCTCTCACTTTGCTGGGCCCAGGACGAAGTCACATTTTCTGAGTGTCTGTTTCCTTGAAACCGCAACACAGTGTACCAATCTAACACGCAGGCAGTGTTTCAGTCAGGCTCTTTTGTTGGCTGGGAACAGAAGCCAACCTAAACCACCGAAACCTCTCTCCTGCCCCTACGTTCAGCCCATTGCCTGAAAGCAAGCACTCTTCCCGGTAATGGATTACGACTCCACCCAGCTAGGGGAAGGAATCTTTATCCTCACACAGAGTTGGCCTTTGATCTATAGGAAAGAGCACTTCTCTCTCCCTCTGTTCTTTCTCTACTAGTCTGTCCTACTCCTAGGGTTCCAGCCCTACTCCTGGAGATTCACCCCAAGGAAGGTGAAGGTGATTCTAAGGAGGGAACGTCACCCTTGCTTTCCTCCTGTGGGTTAGTGCTCAGAATCCAACTCTGATCTGTTGCTATGCTGAAGAGCTCCTTGCCCTTAGGGAGAGTAGGGGCTGGAATGGAGGTTGGGATGATAGAATACAGTATCCTGGGATACTGGACACGTCTTTGTTCGGGGCGGAGGGGGGGCTGCCCTGTGTGACGTGGGCTGTTGAGCAGCATTCCTGACCTACCCAGAGATGCCAGTAGTGTCCCAGTACCCAGCTCCAGCCCTGCCATTTTTGACGATAGAAGATGTTGCTAGATGTTGCCAAATATCACCTGGAGACAAAATCTCCCCTGCTCTATCCTGTCATAGCAGCTAAACCAAAAACGGAATTTGCCGTAAGGATGCAGAGATATCTTCCAGGGGCCAAGGCAGGAAGTGTGATAGGCCTCAGGTGAGGCTTGGTCTCTAAGTGGCAAAACATCTGGAGTCAAGCTGTTTTCTGGCACTTCAAGGGCCTTCTGCTGGAGTTAGTACCTTACGCTGCAGTGAAAATAGGGCGTCTATATGAACCCACCAATCAGCACGAACTGCCAGAGAGCTCTACGGTCTGGTCAAGTGGGCTACTTGTCCTCCCATGATGACCCAGCGATGCGGCAGGACAAGGGGAACTCCCCTGAATTACCAGGGGAGTGTTTATGCACTCAAAGAACTCGTGCCTTGCTTTGTTTTCCTTTTACCTATGTTAAATCCTTAAAGTTGCCACTGTGGGTCCAGCCAGTGGCGTGGTAGTTAAGGGGGCTGTTATGATATCTTGTTACTGGTGCCAACCAAACTCAGCACAAGGGAGAGACATGTGTCAGAGTGGGAGTGTGAGGGAAAGGAGGAAGGCTGAGATGGCAGAGGGACGTCTGCAGTGAGCCACATTGAACGCCTCAGAAACATGGGACTGGAGAGCAGAGTGACTCTCACATGAAGGGGTGGGCTTAGGGTCTAGGTTTGGATGCATTCACCAAGGAGGGGATGTATTAGATGAGAAAAGAACCAGGCTGGGAAAGCCAGGAGACACCAAAATTCGAAAATAAAGAGTAAACAGTGAAGACTGAGACAGAGTGGCCATGAGACAGAGGCATGGCGATCCTGGATCAGGAAGACAAAAATACTCCTCACATCAGGGACTGAGAAATCGGACGTGACGAGCTCTGGGAGAAGACAGGGAGCATCATATTGAGGGCAACTCTGCTGACCTCAGGAAGACTCTGAGGACAGGAGCCAGTTTGTAGAAAGTGAGAGATGAGGGCGTGCCCAAGCACATCTCCTACTTTCACTGCGATTGTCATATCGAGAGCAGGACACACAACCCGTGTGACCTATTCACACAAGTACTTCACTTACTCTTGTTTGAATTTTGCTTATGTGCTTATTCAGGGGTTTTGGTTTCCTTGCCACTTAACTTGCCTGTAGAAGAAAGCACTAACAAATGCCCTTGACTACTGTTTTTCTTGCAGACTCTATAAGGAATTGGCCTGGGAGATGGGCTTTGAAGAGTTCCATTTGTATCTGAGGCCTGTTCACTTCGAGTTTGTATCACACAAGGACAAGGTGGATCCACCACCTCCCATCTTTATGACCTCTCTGCTGGAGGACAAAGATTGGGTAGACAGGTAAGCCTTCAGAGGGACCTAGTGAAAATAGTGGAATGGTAACATGAATAACCAATGAAAAATATTTGTCACTATTGGGCACAAGTATAATCACATAGCTAAATTCTCTCCCCTATAATCTATTTGCCATAATGCCAATATTTTCCTTTTTTAATAAGGGCGCTGGGGGGATGTGATCTCAATCAGGGGGTATAATTGGATTTAAAAACACCAGGCCATGGGGTCAGCAGGTGGCATAGTGGTTAAGGCATTAGACTCCCTTGTGACTGACTGTGGTTTGAGTCCTGGACCTGGGGGCTTGAAACTCACACAGGGTACATGTGCTTACGTTCCCCCCAGGGACAATTTCCCGGTTTCTTTCTCTCCAATGAGCACACACACCCTATAGCAAAAATCTTTAAAAAAAAAAAATAAATAAATAAAACAAATAAATTAGTTAAAACAGCAGGTCAGAGAACTCAAATGAGATGAAATTACAGATTCAGCAGCTTTCCAGACGGAACACGATGCTTCCAGGTAGAGAGAAGTTGGAGGCTGGTCCAGTGAGGCACAAGCAATGGATCAGAAGTCCAAGGCTCTGCTCTCACTTTGCTGGGCCCAGGACGAAGTCACATTTTCTGAGTGTCTGTTTCCTTGAAACCGCAACACAGTGTACCAATCTAACACGCAGGCAGTGTTTCAGTCAGGCTCTTTTGTTGGCTGGGAACAGAAGCCAACCTAAACCACCGAAACCTCTCTCCTGCCCCTACGTTCAGCCCATTGCCTGAAAGCAAGCACTCTTCCCGGTAATGGATTACGACTCCACCCAGCTAGGGGAAGGAATCTTTATCCTCACACAGAGTTGGCCTTTGATCTATAGGAAAGAGCACTTCTCTCTCCCTCTGTTCTTTCTCTACTAGTCTGTCCTACTCCTAGGGTTCCAGCCCTACTCCTGGAGATTCACCCCAAGGAAGGTGAAGGTGATTCTAAGGAGGGAACGTCACCCTTGCTTTCCTCCTGTGGGTTAGTGCTCAGAATCCAACTCTGATCTGTTGCTATGCTGAAGAGCTCCTTGCCCTTAGGGAGAGTAGGGGCTGGAATGGAGGTTGGGATGATAGAATACAGTATCCTGGGATACTGGACACGTCTTTGTTCGGGGCGGAGGGGGGGCTGCCCTGTGTGACGTGGGCTGTTGAGCAGCATTCCTGACCTACCCAGAGATGCCAGTAGTGTCCCAGTACCCAGCTCCAGCCCTGCCATTTTTGACGATAGAAGATGTTGCTAGATGTTGCCAAATATCACCTGGAGACAAAATCTCCCCTGCTCTATCCTGTCATAGCAGCTAAACCAAAAACGGAATTTGCCGTAAGGATGCAGAGATATCTTCCAGGGGCCAAGGCAGGAAGTGTGATAGGCCTCAGGTGAGGCTTGGTCTCTAAGTGGCAAAACATCTGGAGTCAAGCTGTTTTCTGGCACTTCAAGGGCCTTCTGCTGGAGTTAGTACCTTACGCTGCAGTGAAAATAGGGCGTCTATATGAACCCACCAATCAGCACGAACTGCCAGAGAGCTCTACGGTCTGGTCAAGTGGGCTACTTGTCCTCCCATGATGACCCAGCGATGCGGCAGGACAAGGGGAACTCCCCTGAATTACCAGGGGAGTGTTTATGCACTCAAAGAACTCGTGCCTTGCTTTGTTTTCCTTTTACCTATGTTAAATCCTTAAAGTTGCCACTGTGGGTCCAGCCAGTGGCGTGGTAGTTAAGGTGGCTGAATCCCACATGGTCAACTGTGTGGTTCAAATCTTGGAAACGCACTGGGTACATGTGTGCATACCCAGAATCCCAAAAGGAAGGAGGAATGGAGGAGGAATTGTGGTGTGACCTTCCCCTATGGGGAGTGTTTTCTCATACATTTCTTCTCTCTCTCTGTCTCTCTCCAATAAACATACATACACTTCATCAAAATTAAAAAAAAAAAAAAGTTGTTACTTTGGAATGCCCTTATTAACTTATCAGTTTATTTATTTTAGTTTTGCTAGAGGGTGTGTTCACTCACCAGAGAGAGACAGAAACAGAGAGTGAGAGAGAGGGAAAGTGAAAAATTATCCCCCCGAGGGGGGGGGCTGGTCACACTGCAGTCCGTTCTCCCCCTTTCTCCTTTGGGGATTCTGGGCACACATGCATATGTGTCTGGCATGTTGTTCAAGCCACTGGGTCTGGAACTCAAACCACATAGTTGGCTATGTGGGATCCATTCACCGTAACCACCGTGCCACTGGCTGGCCTCCCGGAATGCCATTATAGCAACACCATAGAGCAAAACATGAATGTACTGATTTACATTTTAAAAAACACATTTTTGAATATTATCCCACTTAATATATAGCATAACCTGGGCCAGCAATTGATGTAATGGCTATGTCGTTGGACTCCCACGTAGTCAACCGTTGTTTGAATCCTGGACCCAGTGGCTTAAACTCACACTGGGCGCATGTGTGCATGCATACCCAAGATCCTGAGAGGAGAATGGAGAAGAAGGGATTGTGGTGTGGCCATCCCCCCTGGGGGGGTGATTTCTCACTTTCTGTCTCTCTGTCTCCCTCTGTCTTTCTGGTGAGGGCACATGCCCTATAGCAAAAATCTCTCAAAAAATATTTATCATATAACCCTATGAGATAAGTGGTATCCCCATTTATACATGGATATTAAGTTGCTTGTCTAGGTCTCATAGTTAGAGACAAAGGAGTGTGTTCCGAGGTGGAAAGGTGACTGCAAACAATATTTAGATGGTTACTGGAACCACTGCTGAGAGTGAGAACTGAATAACACTTAGAAGGTATTCAGAGGAAGGAGCTGGTGAGGGATCCTGAACAGGTGTGGTCAAGAAGGTAACAGGACAGAGAAGAGGATTTCAAACACTGGGGTGGTCACCACAACCAAACTGCAGGGGAGCATGTCCAGTAAGAACTGAGAAGACCCAGACCCCTTACAGCCTTCAGGTCAAAATATCAAGTCTTGCATTAAGCCTGCACTTGCTATTACTGCCGAGGTCCCGAAGCGGATCACATGCCACTCTGCTGCACTGGGACGGGCCTCTCCCGATCAGGGCCATGTCGCATCAAAGCACCTTCATCTTTCTTCTTGCAGATATTCTCCTACTACTCTTGCCTTAGCCATCTGTGAGGTGGATGAAAACCAAGTTGGAAAATTTAGTTTTTATACAAAGGATCCCATTCTTAAGGTAATTTATTTGCTTATTTATTTTACAAAAGAAACTAAAATTAAAACAATTAGCTTATGCATTTCTATTTTAAAAACCATATTTAATTCATATACATTTGCTCCAGTATATGAAGAAACTTCAAAAAGATAGTGGAAAATAAAATTAAAATATAAGTTTACTTTAGTGCAAAAAACATTGTGGTTTTCCTAGAATGCAGATTTCCCATGAGGAAGACCACCCCTTAAGAAAAGGTTCACTTTATGGGGCCAGCAGGTGGCATGGTGGTTAAGGGCGTTGGACTCCCACATGGCTGACCGCGGTTTGAGTACCCGACCTGGAGATTTACCTTCTCACTTTCTCTCTCTCTCTCTTTCTCACTCTGTTCCTCTCTTGTCAAATTAAAATAAATAAACAAAGTTAAATACACATTTTTTAAAAGTTTCACTTCATAAATAATAAAAATGATGTTGCCTTATATGACATGCACTTTAGCATGATTTGAACCCTAGACTGTAATACCACGTACGATAACTTCAGTTAGACACTAAAAGGCATGTGTAATGAACCACCTTTGCATCAAGCTTTTTTTATTCACGAGGTTTTTTTTTTCTTTTTTTTTGGAGAGGTTTTTGCTATAGGGCATGTGCACTTGCCAGACAGACAGAGAGAGACAGATAGACAGAAAGAGAGAAATCACACCCCCCACCCCCCACCCCCCACCCCGGGGAGATGGACATGCCACAATCCCTTCTCCTCCAATCTTCTCTCAGGATCTTGGGCATGCACGCACACGTGCCTGGCGTGAGTTTATGCCACTGGGTCTGAGACTGACTAAGGGCTTGTGCGCTCACCAGAGACAGAAGAGGAAAAGTGAGAAAGCACTCACGGGTGAGGGGGGGGAGTGGCTGTGCTGCAGTCTCCCTTCTCCACTAGTGATCTGGAGCACACATGCACACGCATCCAGCATGCATTTTAAAGCCACCGAGTCCAAGAATCAAATCGTACAACCAACCATGTGGGATCCAGTCACTTTTACCACCACACCACCAGTTGGCCCCTATTCGATCTTTTTATAACCAGGGGCTATTTTGTCCCTGTCACTCAGATGTCTTTGCTTCTGTGTGTGTATTTTTAAAACATTGATTTAACCTTGGCTTTCAAGAGCCTGTCACTGAGCGCATGTTTGCTAGTTCATCAGAGCCAACTCATCCTTTCCCGCCCACTGGGAAAACCTGGCGGTGTCCAGCTACAGAGCAAATGAGGCCTGCAGGCCGCCTTCCTGGGCGACATGCTGCTTAGGGAGAGACCAGATTCCCCCTGATGGCTGAGCAGGAGGACCCCAGCTCCTCCTGCAGTTCGACTCGTGCTGTGAAGTCAAACTAGCTTTGTCCTGCGAGAGCCTTCGTACTTGCACACTGGAGTTCCCATGTACAAACTACATCCTAACTAGTGTGCAAATACACTGCCAAGCTAACTTAGGAGTGTGCTCTGAAACAAACACCTGAGTCACAGCCGGTCGTGACAGCCGTGCTTCAGTTTACCCCAGAAGCTCACAGTTCAAGCCGTTTCAGATGAGGCGGAAGTCAGGCTGTGAGCAGTCCAGCTGTTTCTACCTCGTTTCTGCTCTGTGTACGTCACTTTCCTTTCTACGTCCATATAGGTTATCTGACCAGAGTTCTTCAGAACCAGTTCTAGGGGCTGCCTGGTTCAGGAATGTTCTTTGCTTAAACTCAGTTAAATTTAATTTATCAAAAAAAAATTTTTTTAATGATGTATTTACATGTCGACTAAGTAGTGACTGCAACCCTCAGGGTCACCTGTTTCTTTGTGGGAGGGATTCCTAATACTTTGTCCATTTTTCCCTTTAGCTCTTCTTCCATTCAGGAGTGGAAAATATGCAAGTGACTCTTGCATGCCAAGCTGTGCAGAAGAATGCTCTGATGGTGGCCGTCCAGCAGGCATACTTCTGTCACACCCCTGGAGGGGGCTGTCCTGCTGATGTCAAGGTCAGCCTGTGTGACAGAGAAGTTGGAGACTGCAACACTCCCGGGCCTCCAGCTAACTTCATGCTGCCCCTTCTCTCCTTGCTTCCGGCCTCTCCTCTAGTCCCCGATTTCCTTCCCTTTCCCCCCTTTCTCTTTTTGTTTCTCTCTCCTTCCCCCTCTCCTTCTAATCCTCTTTCCTTTCTTCCCTATTTCTCTCCCTTCCTTCTTTCCTATTTGTGAATGAGTGTATGATGGTGGGGCCGGCAGGTGGCATGGAGGTTAAGGTGTTGGATCCCACAGGGCCAACTGGGTGATTCTTGGCTGAAAATTCACACCGGGCATGTGTGCATTCATGTCCAAAATCCCGAGAAGAAAATGGGAGAGAAGGGATTGCCATCTAGCCATTTCCCTGTCCTGGGGGAGAGGGGTGATTTCTCACTTTCCCTCATTCTCTGTCTCTCTCTGGCAAGTGCATGCACCCTATAGCCAAAAAAAAATAAAATTAAAATTAAAATAAATTACAGGGAACCAGCAGTTAGCGTAATGGCTATGTCGCTGGACTCCCACATAGTCAACCACAGTTTGCGTCCCAGACCCAGTGGCTTAAAATTCACGCCAGGCGCATGTGCATGCGTGCCCAAGATCCTGGGAGGAGAATGGAGGAGAAGGAATTGCAGCATGATCATCCCCCCTGGGGGGTGATTTCTCGTTTTCTATCTCTATGTCTCTCTCTGTCTGTCTGGCCAGCGCACGCGCCCTATAGCAAAAATCTCTCCCCCCAAAAAAAGATGTGAAAAATAAATTATAATATATGACCAAATGTTTACTGGATTTCTTAATTTTCAGTAATGTGTTAGTAATTTTTTCCTTTGTATGTGTGTGTGTATGCCTTTGTATGTGTGTGTATATATATATATGTACACACACACACATACATACACAGTATTGACTGACTAGAATCATCCAGCAGAAAACATTCCAACCCTTACTCTTCACAGATCAATAATTCCATTCTTTTCTGGTTTACCCTTCCTGTAATTCTTTTTGCAAAAATAAATGCCAAGCCGCCTGCCGACACCCCCCGATGTGCTTTTTAAGCCGTTGGGTCCTGAATTTGAACCGTGCAGAAAGCCGTGAGGCATCCAGCTGCCAACATCCAGCTGCTTGAACCACCACAGCACTGGCTGGCCCAGATGTTGAGTACCGTTTCATGTGCTTGCTTAGTTATCTGCATGTCTTCTTTAGAGAGATGTCTATTTAAATCCTCTTCCTTTTTATAAAATTGGATTTTTAAAAATTTTATTGGTCACTTATAAAAATGTTTTAATATATTGATAAATAAGTCCCCTTTTTAAAAAAAGTTACTTTATTTATTTATTTATTTTAATTTGACCATAGAGGGACAGATTGAGAGTGAGAGAGAGAGAGAGAGTGAGAGAGAAAGTGAGAAAGCAAGCCACCAGATTGAGGACTTGAACCATGGTCACCCATGTGGGAGTTCAGCACCCTTAACTACCACATCACCTGCTGGCTTCTGTAAGTCCCTATTAAGGTATATGATTTGGAAGTCTTTTTTTCCCCCATTCTTTGAATTATCTTATGAGTGGCATTTTTCTATTCTTTCTTTTGTCACTTGTTCTTTTAGTGTCGTATTTAAGAAACCATTGATTAGTACAAAGTCATAAAGATTTTTTCCTATAATTTCTTCTAAGAGTTTTATGATTTTAGTTCTTACATCTAGGTCTATGGTCAATTTATACTTAGTTTTTGTATATAGTGGGAGGTAAAGTCCAAATTCATTCTTCTGCATGTTAGTATCCAGTTGTCTTAGCACCATTTGTTGAAAAGACTTATCTGTCTCACTGAATTGTCTAGAACTCTTGTCAAAATTCTCTTGGCACAAACATAAGTTTATTCCTGGACTATAAGTTCTATTCCAGTGACCCAAGTGTCTATTTTTATGTTAGTTCCATTATATTTTGATTTCTGTAGTTCTGATGTAAGTGGGTCTCTCTTTTTTTTTTTTTTTTTTGGAGAGTTTTTTGCTACAGGACACGTGCGCTTACCAGAAAGACAGAGAGAGACAGAGAGACAGAAAGCAAGAAATCACCCCCAGGGGGGATGGCCATGCCACAATCCCTTCTCCTCCATTCTCTTCTCGGGATCTTTTTTTTTTTTTTTTTTTTCGCTATAGGGCGCGTGCGCTGGCCAGACAGACAGAGAGAGACAGAGAGACAAAAAGCGAGAAATCACCCCCCAGATAGGATGGTCACGCCTCAATCCCTTCTCCTCCATTCTCCTCTCGGGACCTTGGGCATGCACGCACACACACCCGGAATGAGTTTTAAGCCACCGGGTCCGGGACGTGAACCACGGTCGACTATGTGGCAGTCCAGCAACATAGCCATTACGCTAACTGCTGGTTCCCTCCTCTCGGGATCTTGGGCACGCTCACACACACACCCGGCGTGAGTTTAAGCCACCGGGTCCGGGACTCAAATTGTGGTTGACTACACGGGAGTTCAGTGACATAGCCATTATGTTAACTGCTGGTCCCTAAGTTTTTATTTTAAGGGAGATTTTTGCTATAGGGCACATGCACTCTCCAGAGAGAGAGAGAAAGACAGAGAGACAGAAGACAAAAAATCACCCCCTGCCTGGTGCCATGGCCATGCCTCACTCTCTTCTCCTCCAGTCTCCTCTTGGGATTTTGGACACACATGCACACATGCTTGGTGTACATTTTAAGCCACTGGGTCTGGGACTTGAACTACAGTCGACTAGGTGGGAGTCCAGCAACATAAGCATTATGCCATCTGCTGCTCCCTTGATATAAGTTTTAAAATTAGAAAGTATGAGTTCTTCAATTTTGTTTTCTTTTTTCTCCAAGATTGCTTTATCTATTTTTGGATCACTTGTATTTTCATATGAATTTTAGCATCAGCTTGTCAATTTGTGCAAAAAAAGAGAAAGAAAAAGAAAAAAGAAAAGAAAAAGAAAAAAAATGAAGATAAAGTAGTTGGAATTTGACAGGGATTGAACTGAACCTGTAGGTCAGTTTAAGTAGTATTACCATCTTAATAATAAGACTTCTGATCCATAAAGCAAGTTGTTTTTCTATTTACTTAGGTTTTTCCTTTTTTCAATTAAAAAAAAATTAATGCTTTTTGTTACAGGCTCTTGAAGCTTGTTGACTTTCTTAAAAAAAATCAAGTTGTGGGGACCAGCAGTTGGCATAATGGCTATGTCGCTGGACTCCCATGTAGTTGACAGCAGTTCGAGTCCCAGACTCGGTGGCTTAAACTCACACTGGGCGCGTGTGCGTGCGTGCCCAAGATCCCGAGAGGAGAATGGAGGAGAAAGGATTGCGGCATGGCCATCCCCCCTGGGGGGTGATTTCTCACTTTCTGTCTTTCTGTCTCTCTCTGTCTGTTTGGCGAGCGCACACGCCCTATAGCAAAAACCTCTCAAAAAAAAAAAAAAATCAAGTTGTGGAACCAGCACATGGCGTGACGGTTACGTCGCTGGACTCCCATGTAGTCAGCCGTGGTACAAGGTCCCAGACCTGGCAGCTTAAACACATGTGTGTGCGTGCCCAAAATCCTGAGGGAATGGAGAAGAAGGGATGGAGGTGTGGCCATCCCCCGTGGGAAGTGATTTCTCTCCTTCTGTCTCTCTGTCTCTGTCTCTACGGTAAGTGCATGTCCCTATAGCAAAAGTCTCTCTCTCTCTAAAAAAAAAAACCAAAAACCAAAAAACAAGTTGTAAACTTTTATTACAAATTAAAATAAAAAGTTTTAAGCTCTTCTTTACTTTAAAAAATAAAAAATCTATTTGTGTTGTGATTTTCAAGCCACTGGGTCCAGGACTCAAATCGCAGTCAGCCCCCAAAATGAAATTCTTAAAAATCTCAACTTGACTAGATATGAAACTGTTTAAAAATCTTTAAAGGTACATTGAAATGGGGGCAGTAGGCAGTGTGGTGGTTAAGGCACTGGCTAACTGCAGGTCAAGTCCCAGACCCGGCAACTTGAAACTCATGCCAGGTGTGCATGTGTGCATGCCCAAAATCCTAGGAGGAAAATGGAGGAGACGGGACTGTGGGCTGGCCGTTCCCTTTGGATGGTGATTTCTCACTTCCCCTCTCACCATGTCTCTATGTCTTTCCAGCAAGAGCATGCATTCTATGGCAAAAAAACTTAAAAAAAAAAAAAAAAGAAAAAGAAAGAAAGAAAAAGAAAAAGAAAAGAACAGATTAGAGTTCAGTGAGAAAAAACAGGCACAAAAAAAAAAACAACAACAAAAACAAAAAAAACCCAACGTATTTTATGAGCTAGAGTGGAGTAGGGGGTAGCGGGAGAGAGACAGGTATTTCTGACACTGTCTGGTAGTGATCTTCCTGCTCCAGCCTCCCAGTCAAATACGACTATGGCTGCTGACCTCCACAGCCTGGCTGACCACCACAGCCTGCCTCCCACTTGCACCACCACAACTGGACCTGAAATCAGGCTTTTAAAAAACATGTTTGTTGAGGGACCAGCAGATAGCATAATGGTTACATAGCGACTGCAGTTCAAGTCTCAGACCCAGCTTAAAACTCACGACAGGTGCATGTGTGCGCATGCCCAAAATCCTGAGAGGAGAGTGGAGGAAAATGGATTGCAGTGTGGCCATCCTTCCTAGGGGGTGATTTCTTGCTTTCTCTTTGTCTCTCCGGAGAGCCCATGCACCCAGTGGTAAAAATCTTTCTTAAAAAAGATAAAATGGGGACCAGCCAGTGGCGTGGTGATTAAAGCACTGGACATTACCACATGGCCACATGGTTTAAGTCCTGGACCTGATGGCTTGCTTTCTCACTTTGTGTGTGTGTGTGTGTGTGTGTGTGTGTCTGGTCAAGTTAAAAAATAAATGAATAAATAAAGTTAAATCAATAATTCTTTTTAAAAAAAAAGAAAAGAAAAGAAATAAAATGTTTGTTATTACCAAACCAGGCAAAAATAACACAAACCTCATGCTACATAAATAATGTAGACCTAGTTATGTTGTCAACTGGCAAAAAGCAAGCATTTAAGGTCTTCAACTTTAATCTTTTGTTCATTTCTTACTGCTAGAATTTCAAAATCTTTTTTTTTTTTTGGATGACTAAGCCAGATGATGGTAGAGATAGTAAGCCAAGATTTACTCAGCCCCACCCTGCTTAGCCTCAGGAGTGGGCACATTCTTAGCTGGTGGGTTGGCTGCTTTCTCTCTTTGCCATTTTGTGGTTTAGGGTTTTTAGGGCGTCAGTGTGGGTAATTGAAATTCTGGTGGTGCCCACATTGAGGTGGCTGCTGACCTTGGACCTCATCTCTTTGATATTTGTTTCATTTCCAGAGGGCGCTTGTGCTTGCCAGAGGAGGGGGGAGGGCATGGTCATGCTGCAATCCTTTTTCCTCCATTTTTCCAATCTTTCAAGATTTTGGACACATGTACCTGCACCCAGCATGTTGTTCATGCTGCTGGGGCCAGGATTTGAACCAGGTAAGCCTTGTGGGATCTATTAATAGCTCCCTACATCCAGTGCTTAACCACTGGGTTATGCGGCCATCTCTTCTTGATTTTTCTTATCCCGTTCACTGTCATCCTCTCTAGCTGACTTTGGCAAGGAGGGTCCCTGGGAAATTGTAGTCTGACTCATTCTTTTTCTTTATTTTTTTTAAAAGAATTATTTATCCAATTTTTTAAAAATTTGCTATAGGACATGCATGCTCACCAGAAAGAGACACAGAAAGAGAAACAGAAAGAAAGCAAGCTGCCAGGTCCCAGACTTGAACTGTAGTTGGCCATGTGGGAGTCCAGCGCCCTGACCCACCCCACCACCTGCTGGCCTCTGAATCATTGTTCTACCTTGTTCTACTGTACCATTTGTTACTGCCCTTCATCCTTCTCCCTGAACGGGAAGACTGGAGTAGTGTGGTCCACATCCATAGGGTCTTCACATCTATACGCTGGAACTCTTCACCTGTGGTTGGACCTGCATGACTGAGCCTGGCCTCCTGGAGGGCTCTCAACCTCTTTAGCTAGGCATGGAAGACCTTCACTGCCTGACCCCAGCTCTCTGTCCTGCCTCTTCCCAAGCACTCTATTTGAAGTGCCCTAAACATTTTGTGCTTTTTCATGTTTCCATGCTTCTGGTCATGTTTTCCTAGAATACTTTATCCTTAATTTACCATATCCCATTCTCCTATTTTAGTTTTTGCCTAGAGGATACAACTTGTCCTCCAAGAGTCAGCTCAGTCATTACATCCAGGAAGCATACTTGACTTTTAACTTTGCTAATATGGATTTCATGACTACTTCCAAAAAAAAAAATCTTGACTTTTAGCTTGGCTAACATGGATTTCATGACTACTTCCAAAAAAAAAAAAAAAAAAAAACCACATACCATGGGGGAGGGAAATAAGAGCACGTGGCTTCTCTTAAAACAGTGGAATAAGAAGAAAGTTGACATAATTAGGAAGAATAAATAAGGGACACAGTGAAAGAAGACCATAAGAATGGAGAGAAGGGAGAGAGGAAGGAAAGAGACAATGAGAGCATAGCAGTGTACATTTCCACCAAAGCCATAGGATGGGAGTGGTTCGAGAAAAATCGAGTCACCCGAGATGTGCAGATGACAAAAAAAAAGAGCACATTAAAAATATGTGAAATACCATTAGTCATTAGAGAAACACAAATTGAAACCCCATTGAGAAATCACTATACATCAATGTGAATGGTTAGTTTAAAAGACTGGCCATTCTGAGCATTGGCAGGGCTGTGGAGGATCTAGGACTTCTGTGCCTTGTTGCTAGGAATGTAGACTGGTATAGGCACCTTGGAAAATGGTTTGACTGTTTCTTAAAAAATTGAAAATATACCTATCATATAATCTACCAATTCTACTCCTAGGTATTTTACCAGGAGAAATGAAAGTACATATCCATACAAAGATTTGTACCCACATGTTTATAGCAGCTTTATTCATAACAATCAAGAACTGTAAAGAACACAAATATGTCTATCAAGAGATGAATGGATAAACAAATTGTGGTATATCCATACAGTGGAATACTACTCAGCCATACAAAGTAATGGACTATTGGCATCCACAACAGTTGGATGAAGCCAGACAAAAAGAGAGCTTCCTATACGACTCTATTTATATATATTTATAAAATTCTGGGAAATATGTTCTAATCTCAAGTTGCAGAAGACAGAGTGATTGTTTGAGGAAGAAGTCTGGGGGGAAAGAATGACTATGGTCATTAGTTTTGTTGTATTGATGTCTTTGCAGCCAAAAAAGTGTCAAAATCTTTTTAATTATATACTTTAAATATGTGCTATTTATTGAATGTCAGTTACAACTCAATACACCTGTTATTTTTTTTGAGAGAGAGAGATTTTCGCTATAGGGCGCGTGCTCTCGCCAGACAGACAGAGAGAGACATTAGAGACAGAAAGTGAGAAATCACCCCCCAGGGGGGATGGTCACGCTGCAATCACTTCTCCTCCATTCTCCTCTTGGGATCTTGGGCATGTACGCACACGCGCCTGGCGTGAGTTCTAAGCCACTGGGTCCGGGACGTGAACCGCGGTCGACTACGTGGGAGTCCAGCAACATAGCCATTATGCTAACTGCTGGTAAAATTATTTTTAAAAGATGGAATTTAATAGGACCTGAACTGTGGTCAGCTACATGGGAGTCCAGCGGCATAGCCATTACACCGTCTGCTGGTCCCCCAGAATGGTCTTTCTTTTAAAGTCTTAACCTTTAGTTAGCAGCTTAGAAAAGTACAAAAGACTTCCATCCATCATGCCTTGCACTCCATAACCAGAGTTCTCATCACTTCTATTCTCTCCTCTCTCTTTCTCCTGCTGTCCCTCCTCTTCCCTCCTCTTCTTCCCTCTCCCCATCTTCCCCAACATTACATTGTACACGGCAACATGTGCAGTCGCCTCCATCTGCTTAGGTGACTTGAGGGAATTTTGCAGAACTTGTGGTCACAAAACCCACCAGTAGCATTTCTCAAGAAGCCACTCTGTAGTCAGTGTTGTCACTTGCCACCTTCTAGACTAGAGAATTTTTCTCAAAGTACTTTAGACACTTGCACTCTACTCACACTGAGTGCCTCCCCATTTCTTTGCATGAAGTGATATCTCACTCCCTTTTTTGCCTTCCCAGTCCTTCCCTTTTTCTCTCCCCTCCTTTCTTCACCCCTCCTCTTCTTCCCATTCTCCCCTTCCCTTGTTCTCAGGCATTTTCATGTATTCGGGGTCAGTTGTAGCTGGGAGATCATTTTCCAGCCAGAACTGTAGGACTTACACATTCAACATGTTTAATTCACTTTGGTTTAAAATATTTTAGGAAATAAGTTCAAATCTGAGATATAGTGGAATGGGTCCAACCAGAAGAAGAGATTCCAGAGTTATGAATGGTGTAGAGAGCTTGCTATTAGCCTCAACTCCAAAAGTTCCAGGCGCCTTTATTCATTCTTCAAAAGGATTTCAGGTCACCAAAAGGTACTGTACTCAGAGGGAATGCTATTATTTAAAATAAAATGTTCCCCCCCCCAAAAAATAAATAAATACAATAAAGTGTTCCCTTTTAAGTCAATTAATAATACAGTATTATGGAATTGAAGGGCCCTAAATGCTCAGAATGACCAGCAGGTATTTTATTTTAAGACATTATATGGGGCCAGCCAGGTGGTGTGATTAAGGTGGCTGGATCCCACTGGCATTGTTTGAGTCTCAGACTTGGTGGTCGGAAAAACACGCCACGTGCACGTCTGTGTGTGCCCCAAATTTTGAGAGGAGTGTGGAGAAGGCACTGCAACCCCGTCATCTCTCGAGGGTGTTCTTTCTCATTGTCTCTCTCCCTGCTTTTCTGTCTCTCTCTAGCAAGCGCACACATCCTACAGGAAGCTAAACATAAGCAAATGAATAAAGATGTTATGTGAAGATTTTGTATGAACACTGAAAATGTTCAACTCCTTCCAATACATGGAAGTCTATGAAAAAGTTTAATTTCAACTCCTCTCCTCTCTTCTTTTTCCCTCTCCTTTTTCCTCTTTCCACTTCCTTTCTTCCTTCCTTCTTTCTCTGTATATTTTTCAATCTCCAAAGAGCATAAATCACAAAGAAGAAGGGGTATAGGCCTCCCCAGATTTTGCATATGTATCTTAAATTGAAACACATAACTTCCCTTTTTATTCTAACAAATGTTTTGCCATTGCTTGGAATAGAGGGATGATACGTCATCACTGAGGCACGTCTCTTGTAGAGATGTGTCTAGAAAAAAAAAAAGGAATGCCATAAAATGTCTTGATCTCTTTTCATCATGACAGAAAAAGGGAAATATTTACATTTTGTGATAAGGATTAGGTCATTGGAAAAGTCATGTCATATTTTCTACGCAAAAATGTATCATGACTTTCTTGGTGACCCAATATGATTACTCTTTTTTAAAAATTTTTTTTGGAAAATCTTTGCTATAGGACACATGCACTCACAGGAGAGACAGAGAGACAGAAAGCGAGAAATCATCCCCCAGGAGGGATGGCCCTGCCACCACAATCCCTTCTCCTCCGTTCTCCTCTTGGGATTTTGGGCATGCAGACGTGTGTGCCCAGCATGAGTTTCAAGCCTCCGGGTCTGGGACTAAAACTGCGGTTGGCCATGTGGGAGTGCAGTGACATAGCCATTACACTATCTGCTGTTCCCATGTGATGACTCTTTTATTGGGGCATTCGAGGAGCACTGCTATTGAATTCTGCCAAATTTAGAATCGAAAGATAACAGCAGACAACGCAGCTCTACTACTCTAGATGCCAGAGTCCAAGTGCTTTTGATCCACATTTTCAAAGTGTGAATGACAGATTTCAGATCAGCGTGTCTGGTCTAGCGACCCCCTTGGGGGGGAGGGGTCATTTCAGTCCAGGAACCACTATGGTTAAAGCCAGACTGTGATGTTTGGGACTGATGCAAGCTTTTGACACGGGGATCCCCACGGATGGTGGCACACCTGCATCCCCTGTGAATAATCAGAAATGCTTGAAGCAGGCAACACCATAGAGACAGAACCACTTGCCCACCTGCTGCAACACCTAGGGCTTGTATTATCTCCACGCTGTATATCCGCTCCCCTCCTGCTTGGACTCTGATGTCTCTGTTCACCCTTCAGGGCTCCGGAGGCTTTCGTGTCTATTCAACTAGAGAAAGTGGGGCTGCGGGACATGATGCTGAACGCCTTCCTGCTTAGGAAACAAAGCATGGCCGACAGCATGAAGAGCCCTGTGAGTGTGCCATGGGAAGAGCTTCTCAGAGCTCTGATCCTCTTTTATATTTGAGCAAATTAACATTCTTAACTAGAATTTGTCGCTTTCCATCTATTGGGATAGGGCCATTAAGAATAAAGTATGAAAAACTGAAGAAAGGGGGCGGGGTCGTGACACAGTGGTGAGGTACGGTGCGTGGAGAAGCTGACCTGCGTGGGAAAGTGTTTGCACCGAGATCGCTCCGAGTATGCGGGGCCTGTGCGTGCCCATGATCCAGGGCTGGCTGAGGCTGGGGGTGGATCGTGGTGTCAAGACCCTGCTAGGGGTGCTTGTCTCTCTGTCTCTCTTCCTTATAAAATAATCGATCAACTTTAAAAAAGATACTTAAAAAAACTGAATAAGAGTTCAATAAAAAAATAGGAATCAATTCAAGCAATCACATGTTGACTGTGTACACGTTTCCAAGGGCACATTTGGTTTTGTCACTTCCTAAACTGCTTTTTTTTTTTAATCTGTACTGGGACCTTAGCCCACCCCTGAATGAGCCGCAGGGGTTCAGGTGGCTTAGATAAGGGGAGCAAGGGCTTGTACCAGCTGATCACCTGTTATCTGGGTTATGCAGCTGCTACTGCCGTGTTTCCCTGTAAGGGTCTACATGCATATAATACACATGCACACATAATATTAGCCTAAATGTTGGACAGTGCTATAAAACGCAAAGCTTTCAGCAGTTCAAGTTGTTGCTTAATTTTGTGACTCTTGTTTCACTCTTCGTTAATTGTCTTCATGAGGAAATCATCATGCGAATGCATAGTTATTTGTGAGAAAAGCGACAACGTTTATCATCTCTAGGCTTTGAAAAAGGACTTAAGTTTGCCTAATCCAGTTCTAGAAGTGGGATGTGCTAGACACCAACCCTTCATAATTACTGCTGAGCAGTGATGGAGGCAGCAGTCTCCTTTTCTTAATCTTCTAACTGGAATTTTGGATTTACATACAGTTGTTTTTGATCTTTGTGAAGTGCAGTATGCTTTTTTAAGCACGTATATAATATGCAATAATCGAATCAAGGATATAAGCACATCCGCAGCATCCGATACCAGGCTACTGTGCTGTGGACACTGAGATTGCTCCGCTGGCCTCGCAGAACATATTACTTCGTCATTGACAGTCAGTACTCTGCTGTGATACACAGGTCCCAAAACGACTCCGCCTATTACCTGCACTCTTGTCTCTTTTAACCAATTTCTCTCATCTCCACCCTACCTAGAGCCCTTTCTGATTTAAAAAAAAAATCTCAAAAAATACTGACCAAGTGGAAATATATAATAGTTCATTAACTGTCCTTCAAGGTTATGCAGTAGCTCTCAGATCACAAAGAACTCAGGCAGTGGATGATCTGTTTTGTCAGGATTTGGAGTGCTAGCCTGCTTACGACTCAATCAATTAGCCTGTCACTGTTCCATGGAGGCTGGCAGAAGGCATAAGACTCTTAGGTCAGAGACAAAGAGCTTTCTCCCCGCAGAGCAGGCAACACGAGCTTCATGTTTGTGTCAGTTCCTTTTGCTTCTCACGTCTCATGGGGTCAATGCGAAGGAGCCGACATGCACATGGTGAGTTTGTGACACAGTTGAAGGACACGGAGTCTGCTTTATAGCAAGACTGCTCTTTTCCCCAGAGAGGGATGTTTCCCTATCCTTTCAGATTGTTCTCTGCCAACACAACATTGAGAATTGGTCCAGGTGAAGAGTGATCAGGCCTTGCGTTCTTGGCATATTCAGCAAGATGTGTAGGAACAGGAGAGACCTACTGAGGAGTGGCACCCAACTCCTTCACCCTCAGAAAGAATTGTCAACTTTGTGGCCTTCTCCTGCTTTACGTTTGCTATAAGTTTGTGCAAAGGTATTAGGATGGGCATCCTGACAGCCACTGTCTAATAGAAGAACTATCATGCTCTTTTACCACAGGAGGAGCTTGGAAAAGTCAAGAGAGACGTTATCGTGGAATACTGTCAAAAGTAAGTGTGGTGCATGTGAGTGACACATGCCCATTTCTCTGACTCTGAATGTGCTAACCTGCCAGATGACATCAAAATTCAGATCGTGAGTCAGGTGGTCTGTGTTTAAGTAAAACACAGTCTTATGGGATAAAACCAAGTTCAACTTGCCCTTGACATGCAGAGAAGCATCAGAAGTAAAGGACAGGAAGGGCTTTTTTTTTTTTAAGAGGGTTTTGTTATAGGGCACGTGCGCTCACCAGACAGACAGAGATAGACAGAAAGCGAGAAATCACCCCCCAGGGAGGATGGTCACCCCGCAATCCCTTCTCCTCCATTCTCCTCTCGGGATCTTGGGCATGCATGCACACGTGCCCGGCATGAGTTTTAAGCCACTGGGTCCGGGATGCGAACCGCGGTTGACCACGTGGGAGTCCAGCGACATAGCCATTACACTAACTGCTGGTCCCAAGGACAGGAAGGGTTTTAAAGAGGGTCATGCCTCTGCCGTCAGGTGGTACCAACCTACTCAAATGGGCATTCCTTCCTGACAGAGGCGGTCTGTCCTGATATTTAAGAAGACTTCCAAGGACCAGCAGTTAGCATAATGGCTATGTCACCGGAGTCCCACGTAGTCAACCGCAGTTCATGTCCCGGACCCGGTGGCTTCAACTC